ATATATATATATATATATATATATATATATATATATTTTCTGAGAATCTCTTATCAGCTGTCAGAATCATTGAAGGATACCAACACCACAGTGGGGTTTTGTTGGTTTTCACTTACAGCTAAAAAAAAAAAATTAGTTGTCTTCTGTTTATAGATTCTTTACTGGTCAGCATTGCAAATTCTTCTTAATTTAATTTCTGCACCTTTTCAGCGACAGCCACATTTCATCTACATTTTATTCTTTACATCTAACTGCATTTGCAATAAAGTAGTCACAGAACTTTTCTTTTTTGTGTTGCAGTATACTTACAATGTAAACTTCTTCCTGTTTTCTTTTAAAAATCTAAAATAAAAAACAGATATTTGTTAACCGAAAAATTGTTCGTTAAGAAGCTATTAAACAAAGAAGTAACGAAAAGCTCATAAAATTTGCTACTGTTTACTTTGCTTTTTCAAATCTATACACTTACAATTTAAGTCTTATTTTGTATCTTTTTTTTTTCTCTCTCGATTTTTATGTTATGAAAGAAGCAAGCTGTGTTTGAAGTTTTGAAGTTGAAACAGTTATGACCATAAACAAGATTGATTTATCAAATTCAATTAACTTTTGGCAACAAAATTTGTGCTCAACCGCAGAAAAACGTTGACAGATATATAGTTGTGTGAAAAGATGGAGAAGAAGAAGAAGAAGAAGAAAACCTTTTTGTTTGGCGAGCAAGTTGAAGAAAAGAAAAGTTTAGGAGGCGCTTAAGAGGTGAAGCAGAGGCGGTGTTTGGGAGAGTGGAAGGCTTTGAATCCGGATGATTAAGCAAGGGGGAAGCGGCATTTCTATGCATGACAAGTAAAATTGTAACGCCTTTTAAATTTGCATCGATAAAGACTTCAAGAAACTTCTTATTCGTTTTTTTTTTTCCTCTGTCTTTTTTTCTTCTTTTGAATTCCTGAAACCACAGAGTAAAGCTTGTTTGAAGTTCCGAGTACCACAGCACCAACATCTTATTCTGAAAGTTTCAGAGCTCTTCGTTAGTCGGCTGGCCGGTTATTTTTTCCGACTTTCTTTTGGTGCATTCGTTTTTAAGAATAGCAAAAAAATTACACTTTCTAAATTATTTGAATTCACTCGTTTATTGAATTTTTTCATCTTTTTACCCTTACAACCTTCTTTTTTTTTTTTGCTTGTTACATTTTGTATAACTGTCAAATGCCAAAAATGTAAGCATACCAAATGCTCTTGGGAGTTCACTTTCCGTTTGTTCTAAAACTGTAATGCAAAGCAGATATAAGCAACCAAAAGTTAAAGAGAAAAAATAGATGTTTAAGTTTGAATTTTTGATAGTAATTTACTTTTCAATCAGCTGTTTATGGTATAAATAACTGAAAAAATTCAATTGTTATATGGCAATATTAAGTGACACTTCCTTTTTCTGCCAAAATTTAATTGTTCACTGAATTTTTTGAGAAGCTATTATTTGGTTATGTTTAATATGTTAAATGCAACTAATGTTTCAGAAAATTGCTTTGATTGAACAGTATTTTGGTCAACTTCAGAAACAGTTATCTTATGAAAATGGCTTAAAATAGCAAAAACAATTTTATCGAAATAAATAGTCTAAAATACACGGACTTCTGCAGTTACAAAGTATTTGGCATTAAACATTACCAAAAGCTTTATTTAATTTTACTTTAGTAACGTCTATGCACTAATTATTTACATATATATATATATATATATATATATATATAT